TGATGATTACTTTTATTTGTTTTTGTAGGAAATATTTCTTAACTTTCAATTACTTTGGGCTACATTTTACTGCATAAAAAGTGCTTAGACATGTTTTGTTTAAGCATTCTTTATATTTTCGGGGTGGTACTGTACATCATGACACAGTACAGTAGATTATGTGTGCTGGCACCACTTTATCAAAATCAGGGGACCGAATCAGATAGTCTGGCAGTCGAGTCTCACAGCAGAGTGATCAGAAGTCTAACACAGACTGTGTCAGCTCATGCAGAAACAAAATACAATTGTGCAGACTGATATTATCTCATTAATTTGTCCCTATCACTACTATCATGGTTCATGGGTATGATATCATATAGTAATGTTTCTGATGTTTCGTAGAGACAGAAGAATAATCTACAACAGACAGAAGAAGAAAAAGTGAGCAGTGTGCAACAAGCCTGTTTGGAGCTGTAATCGAAATGCTGAACCAACAAAATATGAAAGGGAAGAAAATATTTAAAATGCATGTATGTGGACTGGATTATTCTTAGTGTATTCATTTGTTATCTAAAAAATAGTAATCTCACTTGTATAGATTAGTTGAGAGAGAATGAAGGGATAAAAAAAAGTCCTAGCGATAAAAATAAGACTAAAAAACAAAACAACAAATAACAAATGATTTTAAAAAAATTAACAAGGACATAAAGTACTGAACAAGACATTAACAATTAGATTTCCGAGTACAAGCAAAAATATGTTATTTCTAAGAAACGATAAACCTTGGGTGCCAACAAGGTCTATTGCTATGAAAAAAAGTTAACATTGAAGCGGTGTTAATCTTCTTTATGACCATGTGGTTGTCGTCATGCTGGATAAAGAAGATACTGAAGTCTGTCTTGTTGCATTACTAATATGTAAACACAAGATTCATATCATCATTTGAGCAAAAAGAACAAAAAAAACAACCTTAAATGTGCCTGACATGACACCTTATTAGAGAGAATAAAACTCTAAACACACAAGGATCTGGCATCCTTTAACTGGCCTGTTCAGTCAGTGGTTGTGCACAATCTTTTGAGCAAGAGGTGAACATGGACAAACTGTCGTCTACAGTTTATGTGTTGACTGTAGCACTTTGTGCATTTCCGCACTTTGGCACGGTTTTTCACGCACATGCTTTGAGAAGTAGTTTGAGAAGTGGCATTTCAACAGGTGAGTTTCCTTTGTCTTGATTTGTATTGAGTTTACAATCTGTCTACTTATTGATTGTTTCTAAAATCAGGAGAATGCCCATGGCACCTTAATCTTGCTCTGTAATGTATGGGAATGACAACTATTGTAGAGACCACATATGCTGTAACTATGATGGTGAAAAAGTCTGTGTCCCTCCTGTTTTCAGTACGTGTTACAATGTTTAATGTCTTCTTAAGAGTGTGTGTGAACAATCTCATTAAATAAAAGCACTCGAAGTAGTACAAAAATTAAGTTTCTTCTAATAAAAGCCACATTTGCATTTTCAAGAGCTCCTTGTCTAAATGGATGTTGTTGTTTTTTTTTATAGCAAAGCCAGGAGTGTGTCCTGTCAGGTACTACATACACGAAGATTGTACCGAATCTTGCTCTAAAGACAGTGACTGCCACGATAATGAGAAGTGCTGCTCCAACGGATGTGGACATGAGTGCATGGCTCCAGTCATAGGTGAGAAATGAACAAAGTAGATTTGTATTATATCTAAATATGTAGGTTATTTTCTCATTTGCTTTCTGTTCAGCAACCAATTTGGCAACCACAAATCACAGACTTCACACCTCAGCTGATCACACTTCTTTCTCACTTTACAGCATCAAGTCCATATTTTCTGACTGACTTTGTTTTCCTTTCAGTGAAGCCAGGAGCTTGTCCTCACAGGCTTCCCGCAGCCCTTGGACCATGTGTTGAGTCTTGCTCTACAGACAGTGACTGCCACGATAGTGAGAAGTGCTGCTCCAACGGATGTGGACATGAGTGCATGGTTCCAGATATAGGTGAAAAAAGAACAAAGCAGCAAAGACCACCCCAAAGTGAAAATGACCAACAGGATATCTGTTTATTATATCATCTGTATCATGTATATAAAGAATAAATTGTAAATTTGACTTAAAACTACAGTTTAATCATCTGGATCACCAGTATGAGGTACAGTAGCCTCCCACTGGGAAACAGAATCAGGGCAAAACAGAGAGCTAAGAACTTGAACTAAAGATCACTAGGGTGAAAAAAAAGTTAAATAATGAGTCATAGGGTAGAAATGATTATTGAATCAGACGACAGTGCTGAGTACACATCGTCTTAAAAAGACAATAAAATGTTTCATATTTGTCACACACTCTTAGATAAGATTTTGGTTCATTTTTTAATCACAAATCACAGACTTCATACCTCATTTCCTACAGCTGATCACACTTCTTTCTGGCTTTACAGCTTCAAGTCCATATTTCCAAATATCTTTATACTGACTTTGTTTTCTTTTCAGTGAAGCCAGGAGTGTGTCCTCTCAGCATTCCCCAACCTTAGGACCATGTGTAGAATCTTGCTCTAAAGACAGCAACTGCACTGATAAAAAGAAGTGCTGCTCCAATGGATGTGGACATGAATGCATGGCACCTTACATAGGTGAGAAATGAACAAAGTGACTGTTTACAGCATATCTTTTGTATCACATCATATAAAACAGCTCGACATACACTTTATTTAATCCCACACTGGGGAAATTCAAAAGTTACAGCAGTAACTTAGTTACAGTATTTTTATTTTAAGAAATTTTTAAGGAAATAAAAAAACAAAAAAATAAATATCAAAAACAGTGTACAAAAAAAGCCTTAATTCTGAATTATGTGCAAATAGTTACTAAATACAATAAAATACGAGATTTTATATAATATGATACATATAATGTGATGTACATTTACGGCAAAAAAAAAAAAAGAGAAGATAAAAGATGATGAGTTGTGGATCATTAAAAGTGGTTCTTCTTTATGACCATGCAGTTGTTTGGATGCTGCAAACAACCACATGGTCACTGGGGTTCAGTGTTGGGCAAGTTACTTT